ATGCAAATCAATACAATGAAAATCATTCACTCATGTAAGAGTGGTCTACTTCAAGAAGTCCAAAAACAGACCATGCTGGCAGTTACGCAGTGAATTCACTTTCAGTGGGGTTGTCATTGGTTCAGTCTCCATGGAAAACAGAATGAAGACTCTTGAAATTTAAAAAGAGCTCCCAGTGATTCCAGTCTTGGTATCTAGCCCAAGAATAGAAAAGTTTTATTTTACGTGAAGCAAGACAGTTTTTATGGAATGAAACTTGCTCAGAAGGAACTGAAGAGAGAAGAGAAGAAATACATGTTCAAAAGAGAACACAAGCTTCTCTGGAGTGAAAATAAGCAAGTAAAGAAACAGATAAGAAAGATACATGTTCAAGGAAGAACAAGAGCTTGAAGAGCAAACTGAATTATGCTCTAATTCTAAAAAGATTTTTGCACACGACATTGTCCTTCCTTGAACACTATTCACAACTGTCAAAATCTGGAAGCAACCATGTACCCAGTTAACAAACAAGCAGATTTAAAAAAAGAAAAATTGGAATATATACATAATGGATTGCTACGTGGCTCTAAGATGGTATCTTCTAGCTTGCTACAACTTGGGTAGGTGTGGAGGTGAACTGAAGAAAGCACTGAGTGACAGGAGTCAAGAGTAGGGCAAAATACTACATGATCTCACTCAAAGGTGGAGTATAAGGAAATATACCATGTGAACTAGCCAATGAAAACAAACCCTGGGATTCTAGGAGTGGCAGGGGTAGAGGGTGGTACTGGATAGGAGAGGAATTCTGGAGAGTCGTGGCACTTGAGATGAGCATGGTGCTGCAGTGCCAAAAACATCAATATTGACATTATTATGCTAATATTAACATTAAATCATAGTACAGCTTAAAAACTTTTCATGACCTAGGATTAGTTCAAGTATGACACCAAAAGAATAAACAAAAGTAAACAGAACTTCATCAAAATTAAAAATCTTTATGCTTCACAGAACCCTACCATCGTGAAAAGACACTCCAAAGAATTGTAGAAAATATCTGTAATCTACCTGAAATATGATCTATATCCAGAATACACAAAAAAATTTTACAACCAAATTTAAAGACAAGCTAATTAAATATTTGGATAAATCACTTTCATAGACATTCCTCCAAAGCAGATACACAGACTGCCAGTATATGTATGAAAGCTGTTTAGAATCACCAGTCAATAGATAAATACAAACTTAAAAAACTCTGATACCACATCACAACCACTAGGATCATTAAAATTAAAAAGGCAGTAACAAGTGTGGACATGGATGTGAAGAAATCAGAACCTTCTTACATTGCTAATGGGAATGTAAAATGCTACAGCTGTTCTGGCCATTTGGCAATTCTTTAAGTGTTTATAATCTGAGTGTCTATCAACCAAGGAATGAACATAGTGTGGCAGTATCTGAACTCAGTAATAAAAAAGAAACCTGCCAGGGCCAAAGAGATAGTACAACAGGTAGAGGTTTGCCTTGCCAACCAGGGTTTGATCCCTGGCATCCGTATGGTCCCGAGACAGCCACAAGTAAAGACTGAGCACCACTGGGTATAGCCAAAAAAACACAAAAACAAGTAAGAAACCCACACAAATACAGTCTTTACATGAAATGTCCAAAACAATAAATAATCAATGGTGGAAAGGCAATGAAAATGACTGCTAATTCAATGACTGCTAATTCAAACCTACTTCAAGTTTTCTTTCAGGGCTGATGGAAACATCTTAATATTAGATAACTAATATTAGATAACATCTTAATATTAGATTAACTGTAATAGTTGCATAAAGGGGTGAATTTCAAAAAATGTGAATTACAGCTCAATAAAGCTGTTACATAGTAAACAAATATCCATCATTTATTAGCCTTCATATAAAATACTTTGTGGACAGGGGGCTTCCCAAGTGCTAAGACCCAAGGAGACCATGCAACGACAATGACCAGCAGGGCCACCCAACAGTGAACAGGGGTCTTTTGGAACATACTCAACAATACTCAGGAGGGCATGTAATACCAGGGATCCTATCCAGGTCAGGCACGTACTAGGCACGCACCATGCCCAACTGTTGTTCGATTTCCTAGTCTCCTTCTTCACAGATGATCTGAGTAATGCCAAGAACTGAATCCAGGATCTTAAACATGTAAACATGTGAGGCACTTCTCTTCAATATTTCCCAGTCCTTTCAGATATAATTTTTGCATTTTATTTTTCAATGTATCTATTTTTCTCATTTGTGAAAAGAGGAAGAACTGAACAATAAACCAGAAACTCGTGTGACTGGTTACACGTACGGATGGGTGGTAAAAGGGGGAATGAAAATGTGGTAAGAGATGAGAGGGAGACTTCTACACATACTTCTTTATAGAATGGAACATTAAATGTCACAGTAACACCTGACATCTCGATTTACAAAAGTAATCAAAGGGGCAGAAAAAAAAGACATTAGAGTTAAGGAACTTGCCTTACACAGGATTCGATCCTGGACACCACAGATGGTCCCCCAAACACAGTCAGAAGTGATCCTTGAGCAAAGAACCAGTAGCAAGCCCTAAGCACCATGGGGCATGGCCCCAAACCAACAACAACAACAACAACAACAACAACAAAAAACAATAAAATTCTGACAGGATGTGGAAAGACCTCAAAATGAAATAGAAACAGTGACAAACTAAGTGAATTTCAAATGAGTAACATAACCACATGGAACACAGGGTGGAGAAGAAAAAGTAAAAGGAAAACAGTATTTTGACTGTTTTAAGATAAAATACAAGGGCAGGCAAGATAGTTCAATAGGCTGAGTGCATATTGGACATGTAGGAGGTCTGGGTTCCAGCCCCAGAAAAGCTGAGCACAGCCTCCAGAGCATGGCCAGCACACCGAGGAGCCCATCTCTGCCCATCACCAGATGTGTGGCCCAAAACCAAACCATAATAAGGCTACAAAAAGAATACACAAATACTACACTCTAGTTAAGTAAATCTGTGCCCAGTAATTGAGTCCAAATAAACATATATAAGTTGAACGAACTGAACATATAGTGAAGTGACAGTAAAACTGAACAAGCATTATAGTGGATGAGAGACACACTTTTTACTATTAAGCAAAGAAATTATAAATAAGTAAGGAATAAGACTAGACATTAGTACTGTAGCACTGGCCTCCTGTTGTTCATCGACTTGCTCGAGCAGGCACTAGTAATGTCTCACAACAAATTCTGAGACTTGCTGTTACTGTGTTTGGCAAATCGAATACGTCACGGGTAGCTTGCCGGGCTTTGCTGTGTGGGCGAGATAGCTCCGGCTCTCCGAGAGGGGCGGAGGAATCGAACCCGGGTCAGCAGCATGCAAGGCAAATGCCCTACCGCTGTGCTATCGCTGTAGCCCAAGGCTGGACATTACTTAATTGAAATCAGTGTATCAGAATTAATTTGTAGTTTTTAACATACACTTGCATATAAATGTTTACATGTATATATACTAAGCATACACATGTGAAATATTTTATATGTATATATGATCTCCTCGAGAACATCATGCGATGACTGGAATGGGAAAACATGGGAGTGAAGATAGATGGTCGGCAACTACACCACCTCCGCTTTGCTGATGACGTCGTTCTAATAACACCAAACATCAGCCAAGCGGCACAAATGCTGAACGACTTTGACCGTGAATGTGGAAAGGTCGGACTACAGCTGAATCTTACGAAGACAATGTTTATGAGAAACAGCCTTGTTCCTGACGCTCCATTCGCTCTCAACGGAACCACCATCTCCGAATGCAACAGTTATATATACCTAGGTCGAGAAATCAACATGATGAATGACCTGGCACCTGAGTTGCGCAGGAGGAAGAGAGCGGCTTGGAATGCCTTCAAGAGCATTGAAGAAATAACTAAAAGGACAAAGAACCTCCAGCTACGAGCACATCTCTTTGATTCCACTATTCTTCCTGCATTAACATATGCCTCAGAGACCTGGACCCTACGAAAACAGGATGAGAACACTATTCGGGTCTCTCAAAGAGGAATCGAAAGAACTATGCTTGGAATATCACGATTCACTCAAATGAGAGATAGAATCCGGAGTTCTGATCTTCGTCAACGCTCAAGAATCAGGGACGCTGTCTCATTTGCCAAGACATCAAAAATCAGATGGGCTGGACACGTAATGAGGTTTACAGACAACCGCTGGACTAGAGCCATTACTGATTGGATTCCACGAGACATCAAAAAATCACGTGGACGCCCACCTATAAGATGGTCAGACTTCTTCGTCAAGACCCTAAATGATCGGTTTGAGGCTCTACATGTTCCTAAAACGAACAGATACCATTGGGCTACACTAGCACGCAACCGGGATGAATGGAGACGTTACTGGCACCAGCTCGAATAAATCGATGAATAACGGGGATTAAGTGATTAAGTGATTAAGTGATATGATCTCCTAGCTTATCTGTTCAAAACTTTACCTAGAAACAATTACAAGAACAATGAGTGCACATATCTTAAGTATTAAAATAATGTTTAAAATAAACTTGTATCCCTTGAAGAAATTATAGATTCCAAGGCTGATTCCAGAAAAAATACATGATGAACCCAAAGGCAAAGATGTGTTCCCCAAAAATGATGGAATATATTTAAAGTATGAGTAAACAAGAGTCAACTAAAAAGTTCTCAATGGTCAGATTCAGACAATCTGACCAACAAAACAATCATACAAATTGACAGAAGCATAAAATAGTGGGCAAAAGAAAGAAATAAGCAACTCAACAAAGAATGAGCAAGCGAGAGATGTTCAAAAGGACAGTCTTCTCCAGAATAGGGGGGGAGGGGGGAGGAACCCTTAAAAGTTGATAGTTTAAAAAAAAATCCAAATTATGAGAGTTTTGTTAACCGAACTTACAAACATCAACTTAACACCATTTTCTATTTTTCAGACTATTATTAAAGTCTGAAAAATTTTCTTTTCTTTTCCCCATGTATCAGTGACCGGGCTATGGAGACTGCTGAGGAAAGACAGTATCCATGCATAAATCACAGAATTGTTCTGGCCCCTTCTATCAACTGGAGAGCTGTACGTGAACAACAGCATCCAGTAACCACAGGGCAAAGAATTATTTTTTAAATCACATAATGAAAATTAATCAGTATGGATCTGACTTTTGTTTTGTAACTGCAGGGGTTGAATCCAGAGATCCAACTTCACACAGGCAAGTGCTGAGCTACATCCCTAGCTTCCTGGTGTTCACTTTTTAATAGTAATTAGATGATCTTTATTTTCCATCTATTATAAATTCTTTTATAAATTCTCTTATGGATTACAAAGGGAATTACAGGAAATAACTGAGATTATTTTAATCTGATATGAATGTAAACAGAGCTTGGAAATAGGATATGAAATACTAATAAAACAAGATGAACAGCTGGTTGGTTGTATGCTAACTTCTACAAAACTGCCACCAGAATCAATCCTTTATTAAGCCCAGAGAGCACTGTTCAATGATTTTATGAAAACATAAAAGACACACATGATCCAAACTATAGTAAATAGGTGGATTCAAAGCATGTCCTTTTCCCCAAAACCCAAACCAGAATCTGAAAGACAAAGTTGTTCTTTTGGTTTAGAAATTTTGTTTCTTTGGGTCTGGAGGCTCATTCAGCTGTGCTCAGGAGACCATATGTGGTGCCAGGGATCGAACCAACCTGGCCGTGTACAAGACAAGAACCAATTCCTTGCTACACTTTCTCTCTAGCCCCCAAGAAAAACTTTTAATTAAAGTCAAAACTGTAAAATATGGAACTACAAAAAAAAAGCAGGCAGTAGGAAATATCTCACCTGCACAATCAACAAATTATGTCAATTTTTAAGTGCTGAATGCACACTATAAAACAAGGCCTGCACAATACGTCTTAGTGTACACTGTGCTCCACAGTAAGTCAGTAACTAAATAAAAGTACCCCAAAAGAAACAAAAGTTTTCAGCAACAGATTTAATATTGTAGATGAAGACAAAAATGGAATTATTCTCATCTGTAATTTTATGATGGTAAGATATTCAGTACCTAGTAGCAGCAGAAACATGTATGAATAAAGAAAGATCCAGGAAGTAAAAATGATGGTCCCAGGGATGAAATCCCTTACCACAAGGGCACGAGATAGATAAGTCTCAACAAAAGACAAAGATCTAAACCTTGCCAAATTAGAAACAAAACACAAATACAATTTTAAGTTTCCAGTAACATTTTAAAAGGCAAAAAGAAACAAAATACTTAACATACACAAACATATTTTAACATCTAAAATATTTTACATTCCTTTTTTGCAAAGTTTAGTCTCCAAAATCCTCAGTATTTTACTTTATTCCAAATCTCAGCGGTAACATGAGGACACAATGGAAGGCTTCAAGATAGGAAGATCCTCATGAAAAGCCAAATCTGCCAGCACCTTGGTTTTGTACCTCCAGCCTCCACAACTGTGAGAAAGGAAGCAGCTCTTGTGTAAGTCACCCATTTTGTGGTATTTTTTTGTGGCAGCCCTAGCAGACAAATACAGTTACCAAGAAAGAACTTCAAAAAACTGTTGTAATAAACCAAATTACACTACTGCCGAAATGCAGAATAAGCTGATACATTTCTTCATACTTGAAAATTTTACAACCAAAGATTTTTACTGAAGCAAAATAACCTAATTCAATACTGCAAATTCTAATTTTATCCATAACTAAATTCTTTAACTTATAAGTCTATATATCTACTCAGTATCAGCACTAAACTTTGAAATTAATTGGGTGAGGGATCAAAAAGGCATGGAGAGGTCAGAAAATCTACTGCTGTACCACTCCCTCAACACTGTCACACCCAAAGATAACAAGACAAAAAACTTAATTACACTGCATGTTAACCTGATTAAAAAAGTGGTCTCCAAAAAAGAGAAACGAAAGATCTCGTAGGGGTGGGGAACCTTTTTTTCTGCCAAGAGCCATTTAGAGTGTGCTCTGTGGATCCCCCCCAGCACAGGAAGGCAGGCTCCAGCAGCCCTAGAGAAGCTTGTATTATCTGCCCAGTCAAGTACCAGGGCCAGACCACACAACTTCCTGAAGTGTATGGCTCAAGAGCCAGATCTTTCCCACCCCTGTGAAGAATACACTTTAAAGGGGTTGGACAGGGAGTCCAGAGGATAAGACACTTGCATGGGGCTGGCCCTTGGCACTGCATGTCCCCCAGTACTGCTTCAAGGCCACTGCATGCATAAAGAGGACACTCCACACACAGAACCAGGAATAGCCCCTAAGCACTGGTAGGTGTGGCCCAAAAATTAAATAAACACTGTAACACTGTCCTCCAATTGTTCATCTCTCCTTTGTGAGACTTGTTACTGTGTTTGGCATATCGAAAAGTCAGGAGTAGCTTGCTAGGCTTTGCTGTTCGGGCAAGATACTCTTGGTAGCTTGCCTGGCTCTCCAGAGGGGCAAAGGAATCGAATTCAGATCGACCAAGTTGGCTGCAAGCAAGGCAAACGCCCTACCTGCTGCACTATCCGCTCCACCACAAATAAACATAGCTGCAAGCTGGGTCTTTCTTTATGGAAGGACTTAAAGAGAAGTCAGAAGAAGACTAAGCAGAAGTAAGAATACAAAACCTTTATCCTCCAGTCTGAACTGAAGGAAAAAGTTAAACTACCAAGGTCCTAGAATGATTCCCAAAATGTTTGGTAAGAGCATAAAATCATAATTCAGGTTAAGTATATCTGGATTCTAGATTCCAATTATCTACTGTAATGAAAAACTATACTGTCAAGCTATATATCCAATTATGTAAAGATGCAATAACATCTTTATGAAATTAATGTAAGGTAAATATTTGACACATACTAAATACAAACATTTCATAATACTAAATACAAAAACAGCAGATATTATGTGGTTGTGCAAGAGAGTCTCTGGACTTTTATCTTGCAAGATATTCCCAAACCTGGCTGTAATTAGCATCATCCGGCAAGCCTGATGGACCCGAGCAGCAGTATTTTAAACTAGAACTTCAGAAATCTACCAGAAAGACTTCAAAATTCTACACAGCAAGTCAATTATTTTATGAAATTAATGTACTAAAGTTAGAAAGACTTGAAGTGGAAAGGGATGGGAAGTGATGAGACCAATGAGAAAACTATTTGATTGCAAAGTAATTTTTTCCATTCATCTTGGTTAGATGCTAATTTCTTAAATGGAATCTATTAACAATCAACTTTTTTAGAACACTAACCTAGGCCAGAGAGATAGGCAACAGTACAGCCTTTGTATGCAGGAAATCCAGGTTCAAATCCCCAGTACCACTTGGGCCTGTGAGCACAGAGTCAGGAGCAAGCCCTGAATACCACCCATGTGTGGTCCAATAATCCAAAACCAAAACTAGAACACCCAACCTTCAGAAGTCAAAATTATAGAGGAAATGATACAAAACCCAGAAAACCACACAGGCATCTTTTCTAGCCCCAGTGGCCTCCAGCGCTTCAGAGCCCAAGTAGTATGGCATTCCCAGAACTGAGAACTCAACTGTTCAGGCCTGTGTGGCTGGGTATCACGAATGGTCCCTGGGTTCCTGGAGCACTGCTTGAGAGGTTCCCCAAAAATCAAAATTAACAAAAAATTTTAAATATAGCAAGAGCCCGGCAAGCTACCGAGAGTATTCGATATGCCAGACACAGTAACAACAAAGTCTCCAATGGAGACGTTACTGGGCCCGCTCGAGCAAATCGACGATCAACGGGAGGGCCTTTAATAACATAAGCAGCATGCAGATTAACACATCAAAAACTATATGAAACATTTAGGCAGAAGGCATGGGTAAATAGTACAGCAGGTAAGGCATTCGCCTCCTGGGTCCCATTACCAGTACCATATTTGGTCCCCAGGCACCACCAAGAGTGATCCCTGAGAACAGACAGGGAGGTAAGCATTGCTGGATGTGGTTCCCCCAAAAATAAATTTGATATGGGCATTATTTTTTATATAAAATTTTAGAATTTACAAAGTACTTTAACATAATATACCTCATCATTTTCACCAGTAGAGGGCCTTTACCTTTACCTTTACCTATTCTAAGGTAATGAAAGCAACCTAATCAGCTAAAATACTTAGAATGCAAACTTTGTTCTCCAGTCCCCACGCCCCCCCATCCACCCACCTTTGAATGAGTCTCTAATGCCTGACCAGGGTTAAGAACCACTAACCACTAATACACCACTAATTACAACCATGATGATCTATATGTAATTTTGAAAGAACACAAATTAGCCTTCTGTGACTAAAATAACTGTACTTTCCCTAATTAAGTCAATCATAATAGGAATTAAGGATATTAAGCTCCTAAATATAAAAAAAAGTTTTAAAAAGTTAGGCTTAAAGGTATTATTTGTTACTTACAATATTTTCCTTGGGGCTAGGGCTATAGTATAGCAGGTAGGGCACTTGCCTTGCACACTACCTCCGGGAGCTGGATCCTTGACCACTCCACACCCACCCCAGCCCCACCAAGATATATTATCCTTTCTCCAGGAGCCATACTTGGGCAGAGCAGAATACAGCTTCACTGCAGCCCATAAACAAAACAGGAGTAAACCATTTGAGTATGTACAGATACAAATCAGTACTCCAGTAAAGAAATACTAGTGTAACTCTTGCTTTTAAAGAGTTCACAGTGCTTGCAGTGAAACATGCCAGGAGCTTTAAGGAAAGAAACATTTTATAGATGCTATAGAGAGCAGGGCAGGTAGAACATTTGCTTAAACAGGACAGATCTGGGTTCCATCCACAGCACCTGCTATGTCCCAAGTCCCACGAGGAGTGATCCCTGATCACTGAGCACAGCTCAGAATCAGTTAAGTACTGCCTGTTTGGCCAAAAAGACAAAACAAACTATAGTGAAAGAAAAAAAAGGGAAACTTTTTAGTACTCAAGAAATTGGTGATCCCAATCTAACTTTAAAGAACATGGACATGCAAGCAAATCCTTTATTCAAGTTTCTTTCAACTATGCTCACCAAATTCCAAGTCCTCAAGGAAAAAAAAAAAGTTTCAACAAATTACTGTCCAAACCAGTGTAGTTCAAAACAGC